AAGGTTGCACGCCCCACTTTCCACATGATTCTACACATTTTCTTTAAAATATGACAGTGGTCAGTGATGACTTGGAAATAGGAATGTGTTTCGAACTGCTGTGGACTCCTCGAAAAGAAGGCTGTCAAGAATGTCCCGCGTCATGATGGTGTAAGGATACCGATACTTCGCAGTATTTACAAATATTCCATTTCTGTTACTCCGTGTTTCATGTTTTCTCTTTTGATGCCATGAAAATTGTAGTATGTCTGCGATCTTTTTCGTCACTTATTGTAAGTGGTACTGAATCTCGATCGAAAGGTGGGATCCTAAACAGTGGTTAAAATGGAATTCATTTGATGGAATCCCTGTGGAGCGATGGTTGACTGCAGTTTGAAATTCCTTCTCTTTTGAGCGTCTCGTTCTGCAAATCGAGATGTCACGATTGCGATGACTTGAGTATTTGATCAGGATCCTAAAGCAGAGGACCAACGCATGCTTTTTCGATGTAGCCACATAGCAAGCAGCAAAAGGCAGACCAAAGGCCAAATATTCCTGACATCATCACGACATGGAATCTAGTCATTGGAGATTGCACAATTAGTAAAGAAAGATTGTTCGTTTTGGATACGCTGTCCGAACTTATTGCCCCGAAAGTCTGAGAAATTGTAGTAGGCTGTGAAATCTAGTGAAAAATGCCAATATTGGCTTCAGTCTTCAGCAATAGAGCCAGGTCCAATCATCCTCCGACCAGAGTCGACTCTAGTAGTCGGGATGCTACGTTTTGTTCACTTCACAAACGATATATCTTATAATAACACCATCAGAGTGTGTCAGCTTATTGACTCAGACGCCGAAAAATTGTGCTTAAAGTATATATGAAAGCGAAGTTGCATCTGGACCGCTGCTGCTTGCGTGTTAGTTTTAATTTTGGTCAGTGTAGCTCACGATTAGAAACGCAGGAAACGAGTTTTCCTCGTATTTGTGATCAGCCACAGTTTTCGCGCTTGGCAACGAATGTGTCGCTCAGAGCCAGAACTCATATCGTTCATTTTGTTGACTGCTCTTGCACTGACTTCAACGTGTATATCAATTCTGACATGCGTTCTGGCACTCATATCGACATTTTTAACCTACTGTGCTTTAGGTTTGGGCCCGGTGTGCCGGTGAACAGGTTCAAGGAAGCCCCGCATCGGTGATCATCGTCGATCTGCTGCAACAAGCGACGATGCCGAGCGTGCTGTTGGAGAGATACGGTACAGCTGGGGTGAGCGGCGACGAATTGAGGAACCTGTCCTTCTCAGGCCTGTCGAAACCGTGCAGCGCCGGATCGCTGGTCGAAGTCGTGGTATGCTCGTCGCGCCTTCGATTGCCCTCGCTACTGCCACGACTATGATTCATTTGTGACTTTTCTTTAGATTACCGCTCACGGCGATGCCAAAGGCAAAATAGTCGTTCACGCGCTGCCGCCTTCTGGACAAAGCACCAAGTGCCAGATTCACAAGAGGGAAAACGTCTATACAGCACAGTTTACTCCGTACGAAGTGGGTAAGCGCGAACCGATGTCGCTGTTTCACTGCGCACGCTTTGCCTGTTCACTTCTGTCGTTGCGCTTAACCCTTCCCTACCCAGTTAATAATTTAGCATGCTGAATTTTCTAGTGTTCCGCCCAGCAACGGCTGTCTGAGGATCGGGTCGAAAATGCTGAAAGATTTCGTATTCGATTTTTAACTACTCAAGGCTAATATATCTTCCGATTTTGTAGTTAGCAACAAAAGCAAGGAAAAGACATGCAAAAGACTTTACATGC